ATTTGAAAAACTGTTAACTTTTGTTTCTTGTCATACCATTCTTTTTGTTTTGATTATTCTTCTTGAATATTACTAAGAGCTAGTTCTTGTGTAGTTTCCAGTTTATCAATCAATTCACATATTCTTTTAATGAGAGCTTCTTCAAAAGTAAGATTATCAAAATTTTTTAGTTTAATATCTAATAACGTGATTGCTTGTTGACTATATACTAATTTAAAAGATTCAAATGAGATTATACTTTGCTTTATTATTCTGTAAGCAAATAGAACTGAAGGTAGATAATGATCTCAATCTTTTTTATAGAGTTGAACATACTTTGATAGTAAAGTATACAAAGTTTGATTTAATCTTTCAACTAGTCTATTAGTTTAAGGGTGGTAAGGTGCAGAAAGTCTGTGTTTAATTTGATATTTGTCTAATAATTTCTTGATTATTTCATTGATGAATATAGTTCCTTTATTACTAAGTATTTCTTTTGAAAATTCATGTCTTATCACTATATCTTTATAAAGAAAGAGGATAATTATACTTGCAAAAGCATCAGTAATTAGTCTTGCTTCAGCCTATTTGATTAGATAATCAATAGTAATTACAATATAGTAATTTTCATTACTGGTTACTGAAAGAGATTCTACCAAATCAATTTCAATCTTTTTAAAAGATGTATTAACTTGAATAGATATTATTTTGTTATTTTTACGTAATTGTCCTTTTTGTTAACATATATTACAGGCTTTAATATATACATCAATATCTCTATATATCTGAGACTAATAATAATTTCTTATTATTTAATTATAAGTAATTTCAATTCTAAAGTATTTAGAAGTAATATCTAAATGATTATTATAAAGAACTGACTCTATTTTTGTTAATTTTATAACTAATAATAGATGATTAATATCCTGTTTGTTTCTTTTATATAGTTTGTAATTTTGTATAAAGTATTTCTTTGATTTTGCTAGTAGCCATTTCCATTTTTCTTTTGAGAATTTATCAGGTATTATTAGTATGTTGAGTAAAGATAGCTCCTCAACTATTGTAACGTGATGACAAATAAAGCATCACCTAGTTGCAACTAGTTGTGACTTATAAAATTTTGAAGTTATAATATATTATAACAGGTGACAAATAAGCATCACATACTTACTACACCATCTTTAGTGTTAAGATAGTTATATAATTCTGTATAGTTGTTCAGATTCATGTTTTATCTTTTTCTTTTGTAGGTATGTGTGATATTCTAGAAAGTAAATCAATATTTGAATGGATTCTTCTGGATTTATATTTAATCTTAAAATTATATTCTTGTAAAATCATTATCCAGCATGCTAGTCTTCCAGGAGAATTTGGCTTATTAATTAATCACTTGAGTGCTGAGTGATCAGTAATAAGTATGAATGAAATATCAGATAGTAGGTAAGATCTAAATAGCTTGACTGCCTAAATAACTCCAAGATATTCTAGTTCTGTTGCTGTATACTTGCTTTCTTTCTTGCTTACTCTTCTACTAGCATAGGTAATTACGTATTTCTTTTTTTCACTATCATATTATGCTAATACTATACCTAATTCTAGTTCAGAGATATCAGTAAAGAGAGTAAATAACTTTGTGAAATCTGAGTATATGATAATTGGTGGTGAGATCAAATGTTTCTTGAGTGACTTAAAAGCTATCTGTTACTTTTCTATTCATCTGAATTCTTCATTTTTTTTAAACAGTTTATGCAAGAGAGTTGCTATCTTGGTAAAGTCTTTGATAAATCTCTTATAATAAGAGACAAGTTCTACAAATCCTCTTAATGACGTGATATTAGTAAATACTAGGAATTCTTGTACTTTTTCTATTTTGGGTCAAATTCCATCTTTTCTTATGATATAATTTAGAAAAGATAGCTGGTTTTTACCAAAAGTGTATTTATCTGATTGAAGTTTGAGATTTGCCTAACAGAGTTTTTCTAAAGCTTTTTGTACATGAACTACATGTTCTTTCCAAGTTTCTGAGTATATAGTGACATTATTGAGATAAATAACTATGAACTTCCTAATGTATTCTTTAAAAATTTTGTTCATTAGTCTTTAGAATGTGATCGAGATATTAGTAAGTCCAAAAGACATGATATTGAAGTAAAAGAGTCCTTCATTAGTGATAATACTATTTTCTCTTAATCTCTTGGATGTATCTTAACTTGTCAGAATTTACTTGCAAGATCCATGCTGATAAAGTATTTAGCATTTTTGAAAGAATCTAAGAGTTCATTAATTTGTGATAGGGAATATTGATCTTTCTTGATAATTTCATTCAGTTTTCTGTAATCTACACACAACTGGAACTTTCTATTCTTTTTCCTTATTATTATTATTAATGCTGATCAAGGACTGTCAGAAGAAGATATTATTTTATTATCCAACATCTTTTGGATCTCTTCTTTAAGAAAGGCATTTTCCATGGATGATTTTCAATAATATGGCCAGAGAGTGATAGGCTTTTCTTCTTCTAAATATATTTCATGTTGAAGTATATTTGTTCTATCAGGTTGAGTTGTATCAAAGAGATCTTTATATGAATCCAGGACTTGGTGAAGATGTTGTTCTAGATCCAAGTCTGATTCAATCATAGTTGGAGTGGCATTTAATGATGGTTGAGGTAGTATCTCCAACTGTCTATATATGTTTTATTCTTTCTTACATTGAACACAATTATTTTCTTTTTCACTATGAATGCAGACATTATAGTCCTCTAATCTCTCTCAACAAATTCTTTCTTTTTCTTCTTGTTCAATGACTTTATCATTAATTTTTATAAGATTCTCTTGGACTTCTACTTTCAACACAAGCTGCTCACTTTGCTCTTCATGTACTGTATATAGGGGCTGGTTAACTAATGGATCGTATTAAAAAGAACCTTCAAGAGGTGACAGATCCCAATTCTACATTTGAAGTAACACGAAAAAGAAGGGCTCGAGAAATACTTGACGACTGAAAGGTATATTTATTACTAAGATAAGTTTTGAATAATGACTTAGTCCAACTGTATTGAACTGCTCATCTGGGTCTAAAATGGGGATGAGTTAAGAACTTAGTCCAACAGTAATGAACTGCTCGTTCGACGCTTAGTGCAAGCTGGGACTGTTGGTCTCCAGTGATGAACTGCTCGTTCGACACTGGGACTGCTGGTCTAAAGGACAGTTCCTTGTTCAATGCAGTATATACTATATGGTATGTGGTTATTGCGAACGTTTCTTATGTATTTTATGTATTTCGTTTTCTAAGATTTGGACTGCACGAAAGAAGTCAAAACGTTCCAGTGATGTACAAATCGGGCGTCTGCAGGTGAGTTTCTAGTGTGAAAAATTACAAGGCAAAGAAATACTGGGTAATATTTTTACAAAATTAGGTCAAGAAGGTAAAGCATCTCGCAACCGGAGGCCAAATGTTTAACAATGGTGATGTAACGCTTAGAATGCGTCAAGAAAAAGAAGAAGCTTCAATAAAGAAAGATGAACCTTCTTCAACCAATATAACCAAGCACAAAATAAAAGAGTCAATACCTATCGAGGAATGCAAAGAAATGATTTCCAATTCTGATTATGTAAAAAACAATAGGGTAAGAATTACTTAGATGAAAATCTGATTTTATTTGTTCTAAAGATCTGTGAATTGTAGGTGTTTTCGGAAGACATCGAAAATATTTTAGAAAATCATAAAGCTAATTACGAAGAAAAAGACGAGTTAGCTGAAGATGAATTTGAAAAAAGGTATTAGTTATTTCTTCCAACAACCATAAAGTAAATTACCCTAACATACAGATCACTTTCGTTAAACAGTTTAACAGAAGCAGATATCATCAATATAAGTTCGAATAGGCCTTCTTTAATGAGTAAAGAACTTTTAAGTAGATTAAAGGAAGAAGCACAATCTCAGCCCCCACCTCGCATTAAGGTTGATGGACTTAAAAAGTGGATACAAGAAAATTATGCTGTAAAGCGAATAAATATATTTGTCTATTTTTTGTTTATTTTTTGATTTTTTTATTAACATGTTAATTTCATATTTAGCGTAAAATAAAAACCACGATATCCAAATGTTCGATCAACAACCACTATCGAAGATTTTGATACAAAACAGGTTGACTTCATAAAACGAATATTAGAAATCAAACTTATGCAATTTCAAGCCGGACATGGAAATAAACTTGATTTGCTTATGGATGAGAATACATACACATCGACAATAGTATCACCCGATTTTGAAATTTAAAATTTTGTTTTCCGAAGTTGTTCATCAGCAGATGGTAAGTCAAATAAGAACAAATGTCAAACCTATATCATTTACTAATCTAACTATGCCTTTTTAACAGGAATGAAAATGATGTTCCTTCATCTAAATGGCGTCGTGAAATGATTTACCAAAACAGTAACGCCTCTGCACGTAAGGCAGATGGTATTCTTTTCAATTATGAAAATACCAGTCAAGAGTCCTTACTTTTTGAGAACATCGGTCCACCGTTGAAGACCAAAAATCCCAAGTATAATGGCGATCTTTTAAAATGTTTTCGAAACTCTGTAGATTCTATTTGCAAAACTTTTTGGAATGGAAATGGAGACGTAGAATTTGCAAAGAAGTATTACGTATTAGCATATGTGTTGCACAGTAAGTTTTAATTATCGTTTTTTGTTCTGTTGTTATTTACTACTGGCTAAGATCTTTATTCGAAATATAGAGGACAAAGGCGAACTGTTTAGATTGAATTTGGGTGCTCCTAAAACATTTGTCGCTGAAAGGATACTAACAGTTCATTACTCTTTTGAATATTCGACCTTTCCTTGCATTGTCGGCATTATTGATCTCCTTCTTACAGTTAAGGTAGTATTTTTTTTTCTTATAAGCTTTTAATTAATTTAAGTATGACATATTTCGAAATATTATCTTATTCTAATGCTTCTGACGCAGGCTATTTTCGAATCCAATATGGATGTTCTTCACGATTATTCAAAGTCATGCATGGAAATATCTAATAATTTTACACCAGTTCGAGAATGGCTTAGTTTGAATAGGAACAGCCTCTGAAAAAAAACTATGTTCTCACTAATATACATATTTTAATATTATGAGATTTGGTCCCATCAATATGTTTTACTAAATAATAAACAAACAGTTGCGCATTGTTGTATGAAGTTTTCTCAATTCTGAATGCTCTGAAAGGATTACATATGGATCTTCGTTTTACCAACTTTTAAGAAAATCCAAATTTTCTTTGAAATAAAATCATATGCGTGGCAATTTGTCACGCCGATCACTTTTGCCAAGAAAAAATAATTACAATTGACCATGATCTCATATCACAGGGAGCGTGGGAAATAATCGTTGATAATCGATAAGTGGAATATATCAGACGATCGTCCAATTAAAAGATAAGGCAATTGATAGGAACAAAGTTCCTTGCTATGCAATAATGTGTTATTCTATATCAGGAATAATCATTGCTGCTTGGAAGTTAGCCATTCACTATAATATAGCAATATATGGGCAAGATAGATCTATAAGCCTATCTAGCAGAAATAATAATAATCATCACTTACAGAATCAATATAGAAATCATCAAAATAATAGCTTAATATCAATAAAATTAGACCAGATAGAAAGTTACTATAATAAAATAAAAGAACAATAACCAAAAGAATAATAAGTCCAAAGACACATGTTACAACTGTAACAAATCAGATTACTTCACAAAGAATTATTATTCTAAATCAAAGATCAAAATTACAAACATAAAAGATAAACAAGAAGAATCTTTATATAAGAGAGTTGAGTTTGCTCATTTAAAAGATAACAGAAAAAGATTATTAAAATTTAATGGTCAAGTAAATGACAAGCCAGCATGAGTATTGCTTGATAGTGACATATCAAGAAATTTTATTGATAAGAAATTTATTCAGAAGAATAAAGTTAAATTACAAAAGATAATATCAGTTATAGTTGAACTTGCTGATAATAATAAAATTAACAGTCATCATCTTGATAAAGATTGATAAGCTTAAATTAAATATGTATAGAATGTACAAGATGGATGTACAGATTTTAAAACTATAAAAATATAACTTAATTCTAGGTAAATCTTGATATTTCATGTTAATCTAACTATAAACTGAAGAAATAATATCATAATCTTTATCTATGGATCAAAGATAATAAAAATATAAGTTAATAATAAAATAAAGTTAGGTTTTAGCTGCAATTTAATTTATATTTCAAGATAATAAATTATCAATCTACTAGCAGATGCAGAACTTTTTATTATATATCTTAATCATGCTGAAGAAAAAGAAGAAGCAAAAAAAAAGTCACTTTTACTAGAAGTGCTAAACATCAAAAGAAGATTTCAAGATGTATTTTCAAAAACTTTACCAAATCAGTTATCACCTAAAAGAGTAATTAATTATAAAATTGATCTCATTCCAGGACCTGAATTATTATCCAGACCTACCTATAGACTTTCTTTTACAGAGATGAATGAGCTCAAGAAATAATTAGCTGATTTAATACAGAAAGATTTCATTTACCCTAGTATCTTATCTTTTGAAGCATCAGTTCTCTTTGTACATAAGAAAAAAAGTATACTCAGGCTATGTATTAACTATAGAGCTTTAAATAAAATCTTTATCAAGAATTATTATCTTTTATTAAGAGTTGATAAATTGATGAACAGACTTATAGAATCAAAATACTTTTTAAAGCTAGATTTGTATTTAGAATATTACCAAATGCACATTACAGAAGAAGATATTTATAAGATAATATTTAGAACTCACTATGAATATTATGAGTTCTTGATCCTATCTTTTGAATTTATTAATGTATTAGTTATCTTCATAATACTTATAAATAATATATTTCATGATTATCTTGACAAATTTGTAATTATATATCTAGATGATATCTTAATATATAGTAAAATAAAGAAAGAGCATATTTAATATTTTTAAACAGTATTAGAAATACTTTGTAAGTATAACTGTATGCCAAGTAAAAGAAGTATAATATTATATAATAATATGTAAAATATCTTGAATATTTTATATCAGTAGATGATATATCAGTTAATCAAAGAAAAATTGTCACTATTAGAAATTGGCTAGTACTAACAAATAGGTCAGAACTTTACTTATTTCTAGATCTTGCAAGTTATTACAGAAAATTTATGAAAGAATTTTTAGCAACAGTCTCACTACTTACAGTATTTCTATACAAAGATCAAGATTATAAATAGTTTACAATAGCATAACAAGCTTTTGAATAATTAAAATAACATCTCACATCAGCATCAGTCTTGTTGTTGTCTAACTCAAAACTACCATTCACAATCATTACAGATGCTTCAGATTTCACTATAGGAGCTGTGTTAAGCCAAAATCAAGACAAAGATGATCAATCAATAGCTTTTGAATCAAGAAAACTTTTACTAGCAGAACAAAACTATCCAGTTCATGAAAAAGAGCTACTTGCAATTATATATACCATTAGACTCTGGAAGTCATATTTAGAAGGTCAAAAATTCATAGTTATTACAGATCATGTCTTTTTAGAATATATCAAAACACAACATAATCTTTTAAAGAGATAAGCTTACTAGTTAGAAACTTTACAGGCTAATAATTTTAAAGTCAAATACAAATCTGATAAAGATAATATAGTTGTAAATGCATTCTCATACCAATCACATCTGACAAATATCTTAGTTATTATTATCAATCTGATTGATAAAAAAGACTTGATCAAGAAATATCAAGTAGATAATTATTTTGTAAAAATATATGAAGTTTTAAAGAACTTTAACAATATCAACCTAAAGTAATAAACTAAAGTTAAAAACTTTTAATGAAAAGAAAATTTATTATATTTGAAAAATATCATTTACTTAGCTATATCAAATGATAAAAACTTGAAAGCAAAAATATTATTTGAATTTTATAATATACTAATAGCTGAATATATTAGAATTAATAAAACTTATATAATAATTTCTCAATAATTCTATTAGTCAAAAATGAACAAAAGCATTTACAATATATTACTAATTATGAATCTTATTAGCATAATAAAAGTAGTAATTAATAATAATTCTTAGAATTACACCAGTCTTTAGCTATTTCAAAATATAGATAGGAATATATTATCATGAATTTTATAGTTCAACTCTTAATCATCAAGTTTGGATATAATGCTATAATAGTTCTTGTAAATAAATTATCAAAAAGAATATACTTTATATCAACTATAATAATAGCAATAACATCTGATATTACTAGAATATTTTTTGAAAATATTTTTAAATTATATGACTTATTCACAATTATAATATCAAATAGAGATGCTAAATTCACAAGTCACTTTTGAAAGTCTCTTTTTGAATAACTAAATATCAAACTTGTTATATTTATAATCTTTCATTCTCAAATAGATAGCCAGACTGAAAGACTAAATAAAATCTTGGAAGAGATACTCAGAATTTATACTATCTATTAGCAAAATAGATGAGATAAATATTTAACTGTAGTAGAATTTGCCTATAATAACAGTAAAAATACTTCAATAGGTTACATATCTTTTGAATTAGATTATGAATAAATATTTTGTATATCTATCAATATTCTATCACAACAAAATAATATTGCAGCCTCTCAAGATTTCATAAAATATTGGAATACTATAATAAAAACTATTAAAGATTTATTATTTAAAGCTTAAGAAAGATAATCAAAATATGTAAATTAACATAGATGATTTAAAGAATTTAATCTTGAAGATAAAATTCTTCTTTTTACTCATAATTTAGATTCTTCAGTAGATAAACAAAGAATAATCAAGAAACTTATATCAAAATTTATTGAACTCTTTAAAATTATCACAAAAATATCTTTTGTCATTTACAAACTGTAACTATCACACAATATAAAAGTATACCTAGTATTTCATATCTCACTACTAAAAAAATATAATCCAGATGATAAATTCAATAGACATCAATCACCATCAGCAATCATCACCTCAAATAATGAAGAAGAATATAAAGTTAAGAATATTCTTGATAAAAGAATTTATTATTGCAAATTTCAATATCTTGTTAAATAGCTTGATTACTCTCTTTATGATATAACTTGAAAACTTTTAGAAAACTTGAAAAATATTATGAAAAAGATTAATATCTTTAAGAAATCATATTCTTAAATATAATGAGGATATTATATTTTAAATAGGAAATATGTAATAATTTTAATTAGGTTATCTCTCTTTAAATTCTTTTAGTTTAAATCTTTATTTTGTACTATTTGTATAACAGATTAGCTTTGTATTATATTATTACCATTAAAGATGACACAGCAAGTATATAATACTTATTTGTTACCTATTACAACATGTTGTAACTCCAAAATTTTATACATTGCAACTAGTTGTAACTAGATGATGCTTTATTTATTATCATGTTGTAATAGTTGAGAAGCTATCTTTAATTACTATAGTGATATAAAATTTCTTAATTTTTTAATCTTTTTCTAGTTATGCAAAATCATATTTTTATTTTAATTTTTATTATTTTATAAATATTCCTATTTTATATTATATATTACTATATTTATTATTATATTTTTATTTTTAAATATTATATTTTATTTTATATTTAGGATCTATATTTTATTATTATTTGTAATACAATATTCATGTATATAGTAAAATAGTATAGTAAAAGAATATTTTTAATTTTGATGAAATAGTTATACTTGGATAATAATCTTAAATATCTTTTCTCATTCTTTGATATTTTTTAATATTCTCTTATATTCTTTTATATCTTTTCATATCTTTTAATATCTTTCTATATTTTTTAATATCTTTTTATATCTTTTTACATCTTTCAATATTCTTTCATGTACTCTGATATTCTTTAATATTTTCTGATCTCTGATTTGAGTTCTC